CCGTTTTTCTATTTTGAAATATTTATGAGCCTTTTGCATTGCATTGAATATAAAATTCATTTGTTTATGTTGCCATCACTTTTGTTGTTAAATATCGCACATTGTGATAACAAAACATCTGCCAGGAATGGTGAAACGTTGTAAGAACCTAGACTCAAATTTCCTGTGGCTGAATCGGCGATTAAAGCATTTTCTAAGCATTTTCGTCTTAGTAAATTCTGTTCTGTTCCATTGCAGTAGCACTATCACCCTAGATTAACAAAACTATACGGTCTCCCTAAAATTCACAAAATTGGCATCTCAGTGCATCCCATTATTTCAGGAATAGGCAGCACCATAAACACACACACACACACACACACACAAACTGACTGACGCTATAACGAAAATTCTAACCCCTCTCCCTGGAACAATCAGTCCATCATATATTTAAAAAATCAGGGAGCTGTTACGTGATATTTGTCCTTATCTACAATAGCGAATGTTGGACGATTTCCTCAAAGATGAAGAAGAGACTCGAGGCGACAAAGATGTGATTCTACAGAAGGATGCTAAGGATACCCTGGACCAAGCGTGTGAGCAACGACAAGATCTTAGAGAGGTTGCAAACAAGGAGGAGGCTTATACTTAACATCAGAAAAAGGCAGCTGAAGTTTCTAGGACACATTATGAAGAAGGAGGGACTGGAGAATCTGATACTCACGGGTCGAATAGAGGGAAAGAGAAACAAGGGAAAACAACGCATAACATACTTAAGCAAGTGGACGAGAGAACGTGGTCTGGGGGAGGAAGCAGAGGGAAGGAACTTGCTGAGAACTGCAAGGGATAGAGGAAGGTGGAGGGCCATGATCACCTACGTCCTGAAAGGACATGGCACATAAAAAGCTTTAAATGTTGATTTTGAATGTCCTCTGCCTGTTGGGGTTATCGCCGCGGTCGCCGGACGCATAGCGGTGGTAAGCGGTCAAATTGAAGGCTTATACTTAACATCAGGAGGAGGCAGCTGAAGTTTCTGGGATACGTAATGAAAAAGGAGGGCCTGGTGAATCTGATACTCACATGTCGAATAAAGAGAAAGAGAGACAAGAGAAAGCAACGCGTGACATACCTGGCGGGAGTGAATGACAGAACGTGGTCTGGAAGAGGAAGCAGAGGGAAGGAGCTTGTTGAGAGCTGTAAGGGATAGAGGGAGGTGGAGAGCCACGAATGCCTACGTCCTGAAAGAACATAGCATATAAAAAGAAAGAAAGGGAAACAAATATGGCCATTCTAGATAAAAAAAATCACTTTACACTAACATCCCGGTTTGAAAATGCTTTAATCTCTTTCAGAAAGCATCTAATACAATCAAAGATAAATCCCTCACTACCAATAGGTAAAATAATTAAGAAAAATCTGCCAATCCCCAATCATTACTGTTCCACATTTAATAATGATTTTTATAAACAAAAATTTGAACTAGCAATGGGATCGCCTCTTAGTGCAATAATGGCATGTATTTTCTTGGAATTTCTCAAATCTGGTGCTTTCCAAACAATCAACATACTTCTAATATATTAATGATGCTCTGTAAATATATCCTCGTGAAAATGACTTACCTGTTCATGTAGATAAACTAAAGTCGAACACACAATAGAATTTACATACGAAATGTTAATACATCCGGGTCGTCTATTGCACAGCATATTATAAATAGCAGGAATTGTGTCATTGAATTTAGTGCGGACCGTTTTTCTATCGCAACAAGGTCCCACTCCTCATTTCAGCTCAAGGTTCGGGAGTCCTTACATATCACATCCCGCAAGCCTTCCCTCTGTAAACAGAGCGATTGTTTGCTGGGTTTGAATGTTATTGGATTCTAATTTTCCTTAATTTGTTTTCCTATTACTCATCCGCTATTTAGTTTACAGGTTTCTTATTTAATTCCCAGGAATAATTTGAGAAGACTGGGGCGAAACCGATTGTTTTTTATCTATTAGAATTTACATTAAAAATGCCTTTGAAATTACGCTTATTCCTTGCTATTATTAAATTTTGTACGACAAATAACTTGTTGAAAATATATATATATATATATATATATATATATATATATATATATATATATATATATTATGAAATGGATTAAGTACGACAATTATTTTTATAGATGCAATTTAAGTAAATGCTCTGTTTATTTTTTTTCTTTAATTAAACATTGCTAATTACATTTTGAATATTTGAGAAATTTAGTTGAAATTATGCTTTCTCCGACAGGAATTGAACCTGTCATTTGGCCTGATGTGCTGTAGCATTCAGCTACAGACAAGCGTCTGGTCAGCAAAGTTCAAATTACGGTTTATAAACACACATCTTCGACGATTTTTCTCGATCGATCACTTCTGTTCACGAAACGTAACTTAACGTAAAGAATGACAACATATGAAATTGATTATAAAAATAAGTGTAGAACTTAATGTACACAACATGGGAACCAGTAATTCGGAGTGCTAAAGAAAAG